TCCGCTTGTATTTGAGAAGATACGATGGTATCATCACTTTCTTCTTGGAATTCTTCTTCTCTTCGAGTGCTTTCTTTTGTGCGAGTTCCTGCGCCTTATTTGATGCCTTCCAGAAGGTATCACCTTCTTTCCGCGTCTGGTGATGGTCCTTTTTGGAATTTATCATTGGACATTGATTCGCTTCATGTCCTGATTTCCTGCACTGGTAACATAGTCGTTTTTTGACTGATGTTTGATTTGTTCGTCGCAGTGCAAGATACTGCATCTTCCTTTCTCCAGCTGAGCGATGGTCTTTTTCTTCGAGCGTAACTTCTTGAAGTATGCCAGTATCAGGTTGATAGGTGAAAATAGCTTCTTTTTCTCCTATTTCCTGATCCTCCAAGTATGGTGCACCTTTTATGTATGCAAGCAAGAGGTCCGAGTCAATGGTTCCTGCTTCATCTGGTACAGGATCGACATCAGACCAGTCGATCCTTCTCAAGGTTCGCTTGGCTTTGGCTTTCTCCTTTTTGGTGATTGGAAGACGAACAGTGTCTTTATCTTTGAAAGGCCATGGTTCCTCGTTTGGTACGTCTTCTACGTATTGACGGACCTTGACTTCACCCATTTGCCAATTGATAATTGGGTTGTGATCATGAAGCCACGTATTGCCGATGATCACGTCTTCTTTTCCTAAGTCGATGACAAGGAAGTCATCATTCCATTTGTACGTTCCTGCACGAACAGTTCCTTTGAATCGTTGGTTTGTAGAGTTGATGGGACTCCCATCGACACTGCGAATCTTGACTTCCTTCTGCGATTTGAGCAGATGGAGTCCTGCTTTCTTCGCAAACGATTCATTGATGAACATTCCTTTTGCTCCAGAATCGACTAAGGCTCTTGCTGGAATACTTCGGGTTTTTGTGCCATCGTAATCTTGGAAGATGATATTGAGGTATATTTCACTTCCTCGTTTGATATCGCCTCATATTATTACTTCCTCAGGGACCGTTTCTTTATCTGGGTGCCACGAGATCCCAACGCGCACCCAATTCCAAAACCCTCTGGGTCATCTTTTTCCATGGGTGGTGGATATCGGCGTGCATATTCATATCTGTCTGGATTGTCTCCGAATTCCAGAAGATCGTCGAGATGAGGCATCGTCATGTTACATTTCTTGATACGGTCTCCTCGCATTTTGAGTGCATCTTCCCGTCATATCCTAGCAAGTTCTTCTTTGGGGATGAATCTTCGAACCACATATGACTCTTCTTCTGAGTCACTGGATTCATCCTTGGTTCGCCTGATTTTGCGAACTGTTTTGGTTTTAACAGGGCGAGCTCTTCGTACCCTGTGAACAACCGTTTCTTGTTCGGATACTTCTTCAGATTCCGATGACTCAGATTCTGATTCTTCCGATGATGAGGATTCTGATTCTTCCTGTTCCGACTCCTCCGAGTTATCCTCAGAGTCGCTTTCTTTACTCGTCGGCATTTCTTCTCCGTTCCCTTGGAGTAAGATTTAGTCAGCTTGGAAGTCTTTCTTCATCTGCCAGATCCGGAGTATTTCTTCGTCCTGGAATTGGACGTCTTGGTCTTGGCATATGAAGTTGTCTTTCCTGAGCGATCTGGTGCCGGATCATATTCTGGACTCGTGCATTGTGCGGCGACATGTTCTGACTTTCTGCAGTTGTAGCAGAGTCCACCCACAGAACATTTCTGATGGGTTTCTGGGGAGATCCGGTCAACGTCCATTGCGTCAGGGTCCTTCTTCGTCCTTCTTCCGCTTCCTGAAGAGCCTGAGATGAACTTGAAGATATTTGTCTTTCCGCTATGAATGTCCTGGAGGTCCGTGACTTTTCTTGCGGCCTTGCATGCTGCTGCATAGGTCGTTGGCGGATTTTCCGTGATGAAGACTTTTTCTGCAAGCTTCTCATTAAGGCCTCGCTTGAAGTGGATGAGCTTGGCGTATTCGTCGTCGATTTCAGCATATCGGTAGAGGATGTCAAGATTTCCGATATACTCGTCGACGGTTTGCTTGTCCTGCTTGTACTTCCCTTCGAGAAGTACTTGCCAGGCTTGGTCTTTGGTTGCGACACCTCCATACTTTTCAGTAAGCGTCGTCTTGAAATCCTGGTACGTCCCCAGATTGCTGTGTTTTGCCATTTGATTGGCTTTCCATGACTCGGCCCACTTTCCTGCTGTGGATGAGGAGTCGATTTGAGAGAGGACGAAGGCAATTTTGCTGAAGTCATCATTGTAGACTCCCACATTTGCCTGTAGGTATCGTTCCACGTTTCGGAGGAACGATGCATATTCTCGTTTGTCTCCCCTAAACTCCTTGATTTTTCCCATCTTTTTTTCCCGTGCCACTGGCTGCTTGGGGATTGCTCCCTGGTATTGTGCATAGAGTGCCAAGGCTTGTTGGTACTCGTTCCAGACAGCATCGGTACAAGTTCCAGGATGGACTGGTGGTCTGAGAGCTGGGTCATATCGTGCATGTGTCGCCATACTTCCTGAGAACTGGAAGCTACCGGTTGGTCTTGATCCGGTTGAAACCGAACGTGTGATTCCAGGTGCGTTGGGTAGATGGGGTGGCTGGTCCCTTCTGAGGTGTGTGATTCCTGAATAATCTGGTCAAGTAGTATTGTCCGAGATAGATCTCTCGAGCGGGACTGCTCTTGTTCCGAGAGGATTAACTGGCTGTAATCCACCGATTTTCTGTGAACGCCCTTCCTGTCGTTCAACGTGGATTGATTCTCCTCGTGGAAGTTCTGTTGCTTCGTCAAAGAGTTGTAGAGATTCTTCGTCAAAGTTTTCCCTTCCGTGAAGAACTTGTCTTATTTCTTCGATCTCACCCTCGAGCTGCTCTAGCCTTGGGCGATCTGTTGGTTCGTAGGCACGTCCTAGCCTAAATTGAAGTCGAAGTTGAACCGCTTCTGTCGACTTTTTATCGTAGAGGTCTGTTAACTCCTCTGTAGTGGTGTCGCTAAGCGTAAATGATGGTACTTCTTCGTCAGAAGTCACCGGTCGTGTTTCTGGGGTATCTTCCTCAGATACTGGATCGTGTTCTCAGAAAGTAGTCGTTTTGAATCTTGTCTTGTCCTAAGATTCCTAGATTGCCTTCCCTGGGAAGGGCTTTTAGCACGTCTTCAACGTGTGCCTCAGAT